AAAATTGCAAAGTGAATGGAGGGATATGTAAGCAAAGCCAAAAATCTGAGTCTATAGTGGGATAAATTCTCTGCTTATTTTCAGCTTCTGCCTGCTTAAATACTTAATTTATCTTCTGGATGGTCACTAAAAAACCCACCCAATCCAGCTTTGCATTCACAAAACCATCCACACCGACTCCATGACCTTTTTCCTGAATTTAGCACCTACTGAGGTCTATGTGCAGTTATTTTTTGAGCAACACTTTTCACCCTGTAAGAACAAATCAGTTTTGAAAGGCTGGTAAAGAACAAGAACACACTGGGTAATTCTGATACAATCAAGAAACAGAAATTTCATCTGCTGTACCACGGAGATAATTTCAACTAAGCTCCAAAGGTAAAACAGAACAATGAACACTGGCAATACTGACAAGCCACCTCTGAAAACACAATGCATGAATAAGGGAATAATCTCTTTGGAGAAAATGAACAGATCACAAATAACAGTAAGTCAGAATGGAAACTCATTTCTATATCATAGTTTGTTGTTGTAGCATCTGCTCTCTACAACAGGCTTTCCTAAGGGCAACAACCTCAGCAACTCCTCACTACGAAGGCAAATAATCCAGAACTATATTGGCTAAAGTGACTGTGACCACCTGCTTTACTTTTTCCCACTCAACGTCGTATTTCAAGAAAATTTCCACCCTAGGAATTCTGTTTCATATGAACTAACCCAAAGATCATCTTCATTAGCAACTAACACCCATTAATGTACTTAGCCAGAGGGGGAAGAAGAATCCTAATTCCTTCAGTGAGGGTACAGGCAAAATCTTAATGAAATATGCATGGTAACATTAAAAAAAAAGGGAGCAAAAGTTTGGTATCTAATATATAATCACAGACCAAGTCAGGTGTGCAGATTCCCCAGCACAAACTGTATTAGAGTTCAGTTAAAAATACATAATCTCCAGACATTTGAGATGTAGTTCTGACTGATAAGGCAGCAGACAGGAAATGAAACCCCTCCCAAATGCTGCTCCTTATCTGGAAAAGCTCTGAAATTATTATTGAACTAATAAAGTAATTTTGGTGGTTTTTTTTTTTTTTTTTTTTTTAAATCTTCTTTGATAAAGGCAGTTATGAGATTATTACTTTTTGCTGGGTATGTACCATACTGAGCAGGACAACTTTTAAGAGTCTTTATAACAGACTCTGGCACTGAATCTGTCAGCCTTTCTGAAAGGGAGGATACTTGAGGTGTTAAGCTAAAAGTTGGCAGACAGCATCATACATTATTTTTACTAGAATTATTAGCATTCATTCTTTGCCCTTTAATATTTAGATATTAAGAGAAAATTAAAAAATACAAGACAGTCCCATACTGGGGAAGGTTCTCACCCATGGGAACTGGGGAAGGTTCCCACTCATACTGTGTAATGTTTAATGACAACAGATTAAATCCAGCTTATTGCTGGAATGTGGAAAATGTGGGGTCAGATCCCTAATGTAGGGAAAGACACCAAATCCCAGCTGACAGGATCCACTGCCACCTCCATCAGCTGCAGTTAAAGGAAAGCCTCCAGAGCCACAGGGCCAGCTGTGAGCTCAGGGGAAGGGATGCACAGCTGAGTGAGGAAAGAGATGGGATTTAAATCACATTCCTGTTGTTCCTGTTTCCTGTGAGCTGCACTGCAAGGGTTGAGTGGCTATCACTGGGAAGGCCCTAAGCCCTTTCATGCCCTGTGTAACAGGAGCTCAGACACCTCCCACAGCAACACTCTGCATGCTGTGATGGGACCAGGCACACAGAGGGTGGGCATTGCTAGATTCAGGTTTTGACATAAAAAAATACAACTGCTAGTTCATTAAAAAAGATTTTAAAAACAAATATTTCACGAGTAAGAAACTGACCAAAATTATTTGAAGCTTTATTGGCCTTGGTTTTTTTCAGTCACACAAAAGAGTGAGCATGGAGTGAAGCTCTAGGGAAATAAAAACATCTTTGTAACACAGGTTCTGTTTCTAAAGTTCAAATGATACTAAAGTTCAACTTCTTAAATGTTAAAATTATAGGCTATAGGTGTAGATAAAATTTGTTTTCTGGGTTTTGTGGGGAAAAAACCCCTAAGCATGTGTAATTCCAGACTGATAAAACCCAGAAAATTGTAATATTACATTCAGAGAGCTCCATCCATGTGGAGAGTGAACTCCACAATGCTGAGTTTCTATTCTTTACCTGCAAATTACGAAGCTACTGGCTTTAAATCCTTCACAAATTCTGGTTTAGCAGGTGGGTTTCTTCAGGGCCCCAGCCCAGCCCATCCCATCCCATCCCATCCCACAGCCCGTTCCTGGATGCTTCCCATGTTCCCAGTGCCATATCCAGGTAGGATTTACAGCACACATCGCCCTCTACTGGGGCAGGTAGGGAGCGACTGTTTTGAAGGGAATACTTTAAAGATTATAAAAACGAACACTGTCGTGCAGTATCATACATCTCCTTTTGCTTTAGAGCTTTTGGGTATACAGCCTTGCTTCTGTTCACAGTGACTGTGAACATCATAAACCAGTCACATCAAATTTGGGTGGAATGAGCCAAAGGATAAAATACACTTAATAATATCCTTAAAGGGTAAAATACACTTAATTACCACACTTCAGATTAACATCTGAGTAAGGTCTGTTGATTGGTCTTTCTATTTCCAAATGTATTCACCAGTGACAGTCAACAAATCTCTTTACAGTTAACTGCTGCAAACAGGTTGCCACACCTGCTGAATTTCTGAACAAGTTGACAGAAAGTGACAATCAACTGATCAGTTCCATGTAACTCACACTAAAGACACCACAGATCGTGTTTCACACACAAATCTAAAATGACAACACAAATCCCAGTGACACTGCCATAACCTGATGCAGGCATTAAGAGCTGGATACAACCAACCTGCAAAACACAGGGCAAAATTTCAGAAGAAAACTGTTGAACTGACCTCTTCATCTGACTCATCTGCAAACACCGAGAGCTTCTTAGAAGCAAGGTTTTTCTGTGGCAATTTTTTGGGCATAATAAGCCCATATCTAGAGAAAAGAAAGGAAAAAAAAAAAAGAAGTTACTTCCAACAAAACACGGGGCATGTTCCAAAGCAAAAATCTGCCACTCACCATTTCAGAAGCAAAAGCTCAGTATCAACATAATGTATCAAAGGTAGATGTGAGCAGCCCTTTGCAGCAGAGCACTCGGCCCTGCCACACACCTGCCAGATACTCCCAGAGCTATTGCTGTCTTTTTCCACGTAAAGTTTCTGGATGTAAATTTGTGTCCTAATTTTTGGCACAAACCCCTCTTGACCAGAACTCTCCATGGGGTTTTCTTTCCTCCTTCGGAGAAGTAAGAAGTTATTGTCTAACCTGAAGGGATTTAGCCTTAGTCTGCACCACAATATTCTATAGCTACGTTTGCAGTGCAATAGGAAGTTCACCTGTTTTGCTGGTGATGTAAACCTCAGGCTTACAAAGGGCAAAGGACAAGATTTACATTCTGATTGTGTCACGCAGAAATTGATTAACCACATACAGACAACTCTTCTGCTGACACGGCCCACCTCTGTTAAAAACACCTCCTGTGGGTACTGAGTAAACTCTAAATGAGGGATTTCTCCCCCACCTGCTTTTCCCTGAGTCTTTCACGGAGTGAATGGTTCGTCAGAGTGTATCTCAGAGCTGGAGCACCGCACCATCCTGGGGGTACGACCCCATCTCTGTGACCGCCCTGAGCCCGCCCTCAGCTCCCTCCGACCCGGCTGCCCCCGGGGCCGGTGCTCGGGGGCGGGAGGCGCGGCTCTCTGTGAGGGAAAACGGAGGTGATTCCCTTCCCTAAAAGAGTACAAAACACCCCCGAGCAACACCAACGCTGCCTAAAACGCCTGCCCGCTGTTTGGGGTTTGTTTGCATTTAATGAGCACAGGTTTAAATTCAGGCCAACACAGCGGGGCCGTGCCGCGGACACCCGTGACAAGCGAGTTCACAGGAAGGGGGTTCCGCCAGAGCTCGCCCCAGCCCTCAGCGCCGGCCCCGGGAACCCTCGGTGGGGCCCGCCCTCCCCTTCTCCCCCGGCACTCACTGCTTCCCCAGCGCCGCCATCTTGCCCGGCTGCCTTTGCGCAGCCGCTGCCGTTCCGCGGCCGCAGATTCCTCTCGGCCGAGTCGCCCCCGCACACTTTTCCCCGCCCGCCCCGGAGACCCTAAGGGCACCGCGCCGCTGTCCCGCTCTAGGAAGGGAACAGAGAGCGGGTGGACGGGGCTGGCGGCGCCGGAGTTTTTTTTTTTTAGCGACCCGTTGGCGAGTGGCGAAAGTGCCGATACAGGAAGGGCTGTCCCGGGCGGCGCGCGACGCCCTGAGGGGAGCAGGGGACGCCTCAGGGCAGGGGCGGGAAAAGCCCCTGAGGGGGGAAAGGTCCCTGAGGGGGGAAAGGTTCCTGAGGGGGGAAAGGTTCCTGAGGGGTCAAAGCCCCTGAGGGAGCAAAGCCCTTAAAAGGAAAAGGTCGTTGAAGGGAAAAGCCCCCGAGGCACCCCCGACTATACCCCTGGTGGTCGCCCGTCCCCGGGCCGGGGGTGCGGAGACGCCCTCCCCTCCCGGTCATCACAGACCTGTCACTTGTTGCCCTCTAAAGACTGAAGGAGGAGTTTTAATTTCCCAAGATGTTATTAAAAAAGTGATCCTGCCAAAAGGGACGTTATTGGAAAGATGAAATCTCCCTGCCGACAGTGCGGTTGCTGTAATCTCAAACTTTATCCCAATAAGAAAGCTTTTGTGTTATATTAACAGTGTTGGGCTTTTCCGCAGCGTGTTCAGAAGAATGTTACAAAATGCTGATTAATAACCTCTGCTTAAAATTATTCCTAAAAAGTCATTTAACGTGACTGAATCTGGAAAATTTTCACTGTATCATTTATGAGCATTGTAGCTTGGGAGTCATGAAGTCATTGCTGCCTCTTTTTCCCATCAGAATTACTTAAAAAAAATCCCCCAAACTTTAATCAAGTCTTTAAATTCAGTAGCTATATTAGCAAAATTATTTCCTTTATGTTTTTATTGCTTTTCTTGATAATCCTTAACAGACTTCCTATCATTTTGACTAATAACCCCCAACAAACTTCAACCATCTTAACAACAAATACTTAGTGGCTATGCATAAGAAAATAGAAAAACAACAGTTAATTTAAATTTAAAAGTTTGTGAAATACTAGAATCGCTGGGGTTAGATGACGAATTAGGAGATTTAGTTGGAGGCACACAAAAATTATGCCAAAAGGAACTAAGGATGGGTTTTTTCACTGTGTTGGCTCCTTGTGATCTCTGCGAGTGCCAGGCAGGTGTGAACCCAGTGGTACAGGTACTCGGCTGGAGCACAGCCCTGCTGCCACACCACCGCTCGAGGGACACCTGCAAAAAAACAAAGCGCTAAAACTACAAGAGGGAAAGTCAAAACCATGAGCAGTGTTGCCATAAAATCAGATGATCCCATCAGCAGTGCTTTGCCTGAGTCCAGTAATTCCACCCGGGGGAATGGTGATGCTTTGAAAAGCACAGAGCGTTATCATGACAGTGACCTGTCAAGCACAGAAGTGCTTTTCTATTATCATTTATCCTGTACTGTGGTAGGTCCCCTATTCTACAGAGTGCTCTGCTATATTTTAATGCTAAACTTTTGATAATTAAAAATGCAATGAGAAAAGTGCTTTTATTAATCCAAGCTCAGGGTTTTTTTAAGAGTAATATCCTTCAAACCTTTTACTGAGTGCTATTAAAAGTCACCACATAATCCTGCCATAAAGGTTGTTCTGTCCATAGAATGTAGGTTGTTCTGTGCTCTGTTCTGTATTACAGCACAAATATATGGAACATACGTGTATTACCTGATGTTCATTTTAAAGGAATTCCTGTAACTGTGAGTTATACCTGCATTTCAGCCTGGGAAACCAACCTTTCCCAGCATACCAACAGTTGGCCAGAGCTGTATTCTTTAATCTAGTTACATTTTTGTTCATAACTGTAGGAACACCGGATGCTGTAGGCCTGCCTTGTTCTTTCCAGTGAATTAGTTTAATATATATGAGGAGAACACATGAAAAGGAACCCTGACTGCCTCAAGTGTTTACTCTTTATCAGCAGGCAAGGTACTGTTGATAAATATCTCCAGCTAAATTAATAACTCTTTTGTCCAGGTTTGGTTTTTAACAGGCCTCTCAGATCATCGAGGGAGAGATCTCGACAAGAACAAGTAATTTCACTTGCAGAGATAATAATAATAATAATAATAATAATAATAATAATAATAATAATAATAATAATAATAATAGACTCTTGAGTGCTCTGGCACCAAAAAAGCCCATGTTCATTAAAGGAGAGAAAGACAGACTGAAAACCAGCCCCTGTCTGTGGCCAGTGAGTACATTAAGCACTTGGCAGATGGTGTTTACAAAGAGGAGGCTCACACTGTCCTCCCACAGTCATGTTCCTGTTTGGAGCTGGGTCAGTCCCAAGGGCAGGGCACAGAGGTCTGAAGTAGATTTGCTTGCCAAAAGAACCATCATTCTTCATATGTCTTCGCATATTTCTTGCCAAAAGAACGCTCATTCTTCATATGTTTATCTGGAGGTTTAGAATGAGATCACTTGTTCTGGAAGGTTTCAAAGCTGATCTGCTCCCCTTTCTTTAAGGCAGTGAATTTTGAGTCTGAATTTAACAGGTTGACTTCTAGTGACCAAAAAAAGACTGCAGATATTTAGGAACCTTTACCTGTTGTTTAACCTATTGTGAAATCAAAGTTAATTTGTGAAGCAAGGACCTTAAAAGCTCTCAGCTGAAGGTGGCCACTGACACTGTTCCTGAGCTGTGCCTGGTATCCTCACAAGGAGTTTATGATATTTACCAGTGATGCAGTCCAGCAGCTCTGCTTGAATTTGCACAGATGCAGCAGTTGGATCAAAGCAATAAATCTCCTGAATCAAATTGTCATCAAGTTTCTGCAATGTGGAGAACAGAAAGAGCCGATGGTGATGAAAAGGTTACAGAATGAAAGGTGGCAGAGAGAAGCATATAGGAAATCTATAGGTAATGAATTATTTCACTGCCAATTCCCCCTTGCAAATTCCACTGAGTCTTCTTGAGGGAGGAGTAATAGAAAACAACCTCTCAACAATTGGAAGTCTCACCAGTTTACATTGACTCCAGTTCTCGGTCTCCTCTGAGCCCTTCCAGTCTGGATGCAAAAGCAACAGCACAGCCTTAATTACGTCGTGTACCAGAGCTGGGGGTTCTGCACAGCTCTTTACTCCAGCAAAGCTCTTGGCACCGACTTTCCGGACACACTCGCGCAGGTCCTGCAGCAGGAACCGGTGGAACAGAAACCCCGGGTGCCTCACATTTGCCACCCGCTCTGCCTCTGCAATCAAAAACAAACCTCTCAAGATGTTGCTCAGAAACATCTGCTACTCAAGACCTACGTTACTGACTGACAGGCTCTGCCCTCCTTGTGATTAAGTCTTTGCCTCCTTGATTGATTTGTTTACAGCCCAAGTATCCTACCTAGCTTTTAAAATGGGTATGTGCTTGAGAAGGGGACAACACTTGCCACAGGGGCAAGCAAAGGTCCTGAGACCATGAAGGGTTCAGACATGCAGGCAATTCTGGGACATTCAAATTCTTTTGTTCCTAGTCAGAGCAGTTCTGTGGACGGCCCCCTAGATCCCTGAGGGCGACAAGGCACCTTCCTTCACACCTCTGATTTCAGCACCAAGTACCCTGTGAACCAGAGTTAAAATCTAACCATTCTGTTTAACTGTGCTCCACTGAGCTCTCAGGCTTACTCAGAAGTCGTTTACATATACCAAAGATTTGTATTTTCATACTTGTAGGAAAGATACTTTAGATGTGGCTTTACTGAGATTCCAAATTTCACTCCTAAAAAACCCCGTCTTGTCTCTATATGCACAATACCCAGCACATAGGTTGGTTCTGTTTCCTCTAAAGACCTCCACAGGATCTCCAAGCAGGCAGCTTGGACCATCTTTAGCATTTTCTGCAGGTCTTTCTGTTCCTGAGGTGGTAATTTCTTGTGGTGTCCAATGCTGATATCAAAGATGCCCAGAGCTTGTCCTGATAGGTCATGGAGAGGTACTGCAATGTGCTGTTCTCCACGGACAGGAGTGAGAGCAACCTCTAAACTGTCTGTGCATCTGAACAGGTAATCTCTGAAATAAAATGTACTAGATTTTATCATTCTGGTTTCTTTTGGTAATTTATCTTCACATATTTTAGTAAGATGCCATTCATCTCTTGCTGTTAAGGGTATTAATTACATTACTAAATCATAGTTTATTTCCTTGAGCTGAAATCTGCACAGCTCTAAGTATCATTCAAGCCATATACACAAAGAGGAAAATAGCATTGGGAGCACATATTGCTTAGCCAAGGTGACCGCTGAAAATCCTAAATATTTAACAAACCTTACTTTAAAAACCGTTTTCTGTTTATAAATGCATTGACATAAATCCATAGAGTTTTATTAAAAGTAAAAACAGCTGCTGGAACAGCAAATGGCTGTTCAAGCAACTTTGACCACAAGGATGCTTGGAAGACAAGTCTGTGAGGAATTTGACAGGGGAAGGAAACAGCCAGCTAAGGGAAATGAGATTAATGTGGCCAGGAGAGGAGATAGATTAATCTAAAGAGCAAAATAGTCTACCAGGGGCTTTATGTACCATGGATCATGCCTGATGGAGGCTGAGTCTAAGAGCAGAGGGGACTAGTCTGACTGGCTGCTGGAGCCTACCTTAGGAGGTTTTCTTCTCTGAGGAGAAGAGCAGGAGAGCTATGGATTTCTTTTTGTCCTGTGTTATCTGTAGTGATCATCTTGCACAGAGCCTGCCAGGGAGAAAAGAGAGGTTTAGCTGCATCCAAGAAAGGAACAGATATTTTGATGTTTGGAGGGAGAGGAAATGGCTTATTTCTTATAGGAAACTCCTATGTAAGTTCAAGGGGTGGTTTAAAGACATCTCCCAACAATGCTTGGGTTTATTCCCACAGTGTATCACTCAAGATACATGAAGAATGTGCCCTGAACCTCCCTCAGCCAGACTATTTAATCCACCCCAGGCTCCACACTGAGGAACACCCACAGGCCTGGAGGCTCCCATTCTTCTCCCCATCCTTTCTCATGTCATGTTTGTGTCAGCGTGCCTTGGCACGTGAAAAGCACCGAGGGGAGGGGGTGACCTGGCTATCAGCAAGCTAACAAGGGAACAGTGCCGAGCCTGGGACCACAACACAACACTGCCAACATAAACCATGCTTATCAGAGGAAGCAGCTGAATTATGGCTGCAGCAGATGTCATACAGACTTTGGGATGACATGGGATCGGTCCTAAATATTGCATACACTTTTCATCTTCTTAACTCGCTGGTACATGAAGTGACAAGCTTCCCAGGGCCCGAGTGCCTGCTGAACAACTGGAACCTGACCTGCAGGGAGTGAGGGCTGCCTTTACAAGCTGGCTAATTGGGAAACAGCCACTTCCTGAGCTGTATTTACATCTTGGCTGCTGACATTAGGTCAGAACAAAGAGCTAATAGATTAGCTGAAACGTTCTTTTTTCCATATAAAGTACCATAACTTTGTCATGCAGAGAATCTCCGCAGAAGAGCAGCTCCCTTTGTGGAGGTCCCAGACAGCAAAGCTGTGGATGGGTGGGGGGTTTTGCTCTATTGGTTGCTATGCAGCAGTGAGCACTGAAGTAGGAGAATATTCCTTTTTCCCATGGAGAAGGGGCTATACTAATCCTGCTCTTGAATTGTTTTACATGGGAAGATGGAAAGAATGAAGAGGGGTCTCCTTTCCAGAGGGAAACTTCTTTCTCTACCTTTGTAGCCCCTTTGTTGCAGAGGCAGGCCCAAGAATCTTGGGCAGGCTTCAGTTTTAACCATAAAACCATTGGGAAAAGGCTCTAGAGATGGCACGTCCTCCCTAGGGCAGCCTTTCAGCCCCTGACAATGACAGACCTTTCCTCTGCAGTACCTTGTCTTTGCCAGGCTCCACCAGGTACATGGTGACAGTGTGGATGCTGGGTGTCCTGGGATACAACCAGCCCAGAGCAGAAACAGCCATCTGTAGGACATTCTCCCGTGTGCAGATATGGTGGTAGGCTTTGCTGAATGCATGGGAGACTCCCTGTGAAAGCAGAATCCTCCAAATGAGCCAGACAATTCCATAAGATTTTGGGGAAAAAAAGCTGGGAAAGCGTTCATGAAGCAAAAAAGGTTGTAAGAAGTTACTTTAATCAGAACTTTACAGCTCCCTTATCAAATAATGTTCTAAAGCTCCCCACTACCAGGTCACAGCCAAGTCCTGAACTAGACAAAGCTGTTTTTTAGTGGAAGCAGCCAAATGGACTGGTAAGATTGACTCGCTGCGCTCCCTGCTGTCCAGATGATGCACCCACAGTGGGGTTGCTTCCAAAGAGCATCCCAAGGAAATCCGGGCTGCTGTTGCTCACTATTATTCCACCATGTAAAAAGTAAGGTTTCCTGCCACTTTATGGAAACAAACACAAAAACGAGGTCGAGAGCTTCAAGAAATAAAAGCTCCTATCTCTGGGCTTTGCACAACAGGGCAATTAATGTACTAGTCAGGAGAAGATTAAATAAACTACTGATGAAGTGATACCTCATAGTCAGTTTCAGATAAAACACTAACAGGGTGTCCTGCTCACACCACTTTCCCCCTATACTGCAGAAAGGGACCAGTAGAATTTTTCTTAGTTATACACCTTAAGTTTACTCAGAACAAACATGTAAAAATCACAAGTTTTTTGCAGACTGGATTAAGAAACTGCTTTCTGATGGTGCCCACCTGGTAGAAAAGGATCTCATGGGTCAGAAAGATGTTTTTCTCACATGGGTCCTGAAGAGTGTCAAGTCCCAGAATGCCAAAGACTCTCCAGCGAGCATCGTACAGGGGCAGCACCAGGAGAGAACCTTTCCTTTCCTCCACTGGGCGGTCCGAGTTCCAGAAATGGATATTTCCGTGGAGCTGAACTCTTGGAACGTGGATTGGCTTTCCTTCATCAACAGCTGCAAAGCTGAAAAATAAATTTATGAAGAGGTTTGTTGGGAGGAGCAGAAAGCCTTTAGTGAAACAGGAAATACTGCAGAGCTTTGATCTCTCCCTGCTTTTTGGCATCAGAGAAGGAAGGTGTGAGCTCTTTACTCTGACCACACCCAGCAATACCACATTTACCACTTGTATCCCAAAGATAGCGGTAGTAAATAAGTCACTCCTCATCCTTAGGACATTTTAAAACATCAGCTAATGAATGGAATGAAAAGGAATACAGAAGCAAGCAGCAGTTACATTTAATAGGTTAGAAGCAGCAATATTTGAAGAGACAAATATGTCTGGCTTTTGGAAATGACAAGTGAAGAGGCATGAAAGCTGTTTATAGCATAAACACCAGGGAGGGAAAGGCATTGTTCTCAAAAAATATCCTGTGGATATAAAATTGTGTCTGGGAATGAATTTTTAAAGAAGGAAAGGGAGGCCCAATGCCACAGACATTTGCTAAAGGATGAGATTTATTAGACTGTGAACTAATATCCCCAAGGAAAAGAGTGAAATCCCAAACAGAGCAGTTCTAAGAAGACTGTGCAGAGTATAAGGACATGGATAGGATATTGGATCCTTCCACAGCAGTCTCTCAGGAGGTTTCCTCTCTGGAGTACTCTATGAACCTCAGTTTCCAGTGCGTCCCACGCCCCATACCCCTACATTCCAAATGGTTTTGAGAAAAAGGAGCAGTTATTTGCAGCTTTTCTTACCTTACTCCTTTCATGTCCCTGTGAAGTGCCTGGTTCAGCACGTAGGGAGCATCGTCCACAGTGCAGGCCACGTAGCGCAGGAGGAGCCGGCCCAGCTCTGCTGGGAGCTGGCTCTCTTCCAGAAGGGCAATGTAGGCACTGATCTTCTTGTTACCCCCATGGGCTTCTGCGTCCTAACAACCAAATGATTCCCATTACATGATGGACATTCACCACTCATTTCATGTCCTTAGCACTTGTCTCTCTTGTGCTGAGGTGCTGCTCTGGGTCACTGGGTTTGTGTCACACACCACCAGCGTGACGTGGCCATGCCTGCCCAGAGCACTCCCTGACAAGCAAACACACTCGGTATTTTGATTGGCAAGGAAAAGGGATTTGTTGTTTCCTGCTCTTAATGGGGAGAAGTCAATAATATAAAAATAATCCCAAACTATAATCTGTGCCTAAGCAAAAGTCCTGTGAATTTCTTCCCCAATAGGAGATTTCTTTGGGAAAAAACCACAAACAAGTGCCAGAGTTGTCACATTTACAAACCTAGACAATACTATAGGAACATTTCAGAGAGAAGTTTGGCTTTGAGGAAGGCTTTAATAGTGGGGACAAACAGATAAAGTTGCAGCTGTAAATTAAAAATGAAACTGTTTCCACTACAAATTAATCATTTTTGTCCCAAACTGACTCTGGTGTGTTTCATTTCAGAAGCTCCAAAACTATAACTGTGGATTTCCAGATCTGATCTGAGTCAGTTCTTCCAAAAGTGAGATAAAAGTTTCCATGAGATTCCTTCTGCATTGGCATAGCAAGGACAAGAATTCTTGCATTGCTGATCTGATCTGTGACCCTTTCTGTGCATAACCACAGGCTCTCCTGGACATCAGGTACAGAAAAGCACAAGCAAACAGCCTCAGAGCAGCTTCCCACACTACCTGCAAGTTCCACTCAAGGCCAGGGTTTGGAATCAGTGTCCCGACCCCAGCACAAGCACCTCTTGTGCTCCCTGGGATGCCCACCTGGGAGATGGCCTTAAACACTGCCCTGTACACCGATTCCATGCTTGCTCTGCCGCTCTCAGCCGCTTGCTGGATATCCTGCAGCCATTTCCTCCTGGTGAGGCTTTGCAAGGTCTCCCTATGGCTTTGCTCCACACTTGTGGTCAGAAATGTCACCAAGTTATCAAAAGCTTCATCCTCATTGCCAGAGAACTCAGAAGCAATTAACTCAAGGAAGGTCTGGAATGCCTTTGGGGATAACTTCTCCACTCTGCCGAGCTGGGGGTATCGGGAGCAAAGGCGTGTCTTTGCTAGTTGAAAAAAAAAAAACCAAACCAGAAAATAAGATAGAGACAACCTAGTTGATTAATCAGTTTTGCAAAATATGAATCAAGCCCTAAGCTGGCTTTAGGTGGAGTGTTCTAGTCCATTGTTCTGGGTTTCTTTCAGCTCTCTCCTCAGTGGGAGTTGTTGCAATGACAGGTAATCTCCAGCTTCCACACTGGACGCATCCTTTCCTCTGGACACCTGCTTTCCCTCCTAGTGAGAAGGGGCCCCGCACAGCACTGGTTTCTACCCAGGGGTTGGTTAAATCAGCAGCCGGTCTGCCCGAGCTGTCCCAGCCCCGCTCTGGGCTCACGGGGGTGCTCTTGCACAGCCTGAGGAAGGTGCAGGCGCCTGCCTGGCTTCGGGAGCCCAGGATTCACGGGAGCTCTGTGACTAACGCTTCCATCATTTTTTCTGCATCCTCATTTCAAATCCTGTTGGACCCGAAGATATCCCTGCTCATGGCAGGGGTTTGGACTAGATGACCTTTGAAGGTCCCTTCCAACTCAAACCATTCCATCATTATTATCACTGATTTCAGCTGCAGAAATAGCAAGTACTAACTGGCCCAGTCATGGTGGAGCTGCTTATTAATGCTGTCTTATCCAGCTCATCATCTAATGAACATTCAGTATTCTTAATTTAATTCCTGATTTTCTGACAGAACTAGGATGGAGAATTTTTTGATGGTATAAAAATATTTGGATATTCACCTCCTCTTTCTCCTCTTTTTACAGAAGAGATGAAGAAAGAAATATGCATGAAGTTGAATGCAGTGTGATCAGTTCCTTCACTACTGAGCCACAGCATAATGCATAATTTTCCCCATTATATCTACTGTTAGACTTTTCACTTACAAGGAAAATCAAATAATTCTACTCACTCTTCACTCTATTTCCATCCAGGAGAAAGTCCAATGTCTGTGAACCCTTCCCCTAGACCTGCTTGTTCCATGTCTTTGAGAGATTACATTGAAGCTGCTAGAAATAGTTTTATGTTGCTGGTATTGATTTTGCTGTGCTCTTTTTCTATTTGTTTGTCCTTTAGTTTATGAGCCCTTCATGGAAGGGACTATGTCCTTCCATATTTCCATAGTCTGTTCTGGCATGCTTTGAATACAAGAGAGCAGTAAAGTGCCAGTTTTTCCTGGCTGGACAGACAGTCATCAAACATGACATGTCGTTGTGCTCCCCACCCCACCAGCTGCCTCCAGTGAGCTCAGCAATAAAGAAGTTTTGGTGGTTGCCAAAACAAGCCATTTTTAGTGATCTGCAGCAGAACGAGCAGCATGAAGATGAGCATGGAGATGAAAAAAACCCACTCCTCTCCACCCAAACACACATGCAGGCATGTTCTTAATTGCTACCACAGTATTTCAGAACACCTTATGCCCACTTGTTAATATGCATGAGGCTGCCAGACAGGTTCAGGTGAACCTGCAGCACTTCTGTCTGACCCAAGTCTATTTTGTCAAGGACCAAATTTGCTAAGTTTATTCAGAGAAATGAACCAAGAGAGAAGTGAGACTTGAAGTTGCAAATTCATGAGAGCTGTGTGACAGTGTGGATTACTATGAGCTATTAGAGACCCATGAGGAAAGCTGTTCTCTCCTATGAGGTGCATTCCTGCAGGAAGCACAGTAAAATGTTATCTATTAAAAATTGCTGGATAACACAGATGGACCAGACTAAAAGTGCAAACATGTCCTCAGGCTTTACGTGTGTTTTTTCACTGCCATTTCACATATATTCATTATGTGTTACAGCTGAAATAAGTTTTCAACACATCCCAATGTCATGAAAGCACTGGGCTGCTTCTCTGCCTGGGAGTCTTGCACAGGAGGAGGGAATGGAGCTGTGCATTAACAAGCAGGTCTGGGTAACTGTTCCTTTTCATTTTACACCTCATACCATGTATGCTTATGACTGCTTGCAAAACCAAACTGGTGCTTGCCAACAACCTCATTAGCACCGTCACTGAATGGTTGAAGGCCTACTGTGTTGTTCTCTCAGAGCAGAGCTGTCTCCTTACCCTTCAGCAAGGCCTCTTTTTTCGTGCCTCCCATGAATCTGCTCAGAACAGCATCCACCTCTTCCAGGTCCAGAAACCCATGTCCATTGCTGTCCCACTTTTCAAACAGTGCCTCCAAAAGCAGTTTCCGTTGGGCCGCCCGAGACTCGCGGTGACCCTGCAAGAGAGGAACATCCTGGGCAGGGGTGCTGGGTGTCTGCACAGTGTGGGCACTGCAGTGCTGGGCCACTCACATCATTCCTACAGGCCAGGCCAAATCTGTACATGCACGGCTCAGACCTGCAGATGAATCATTAAACCTGGGAGATACCGAGAAACACTAAACACAGGTTACAGTTCAGTTTACCAGGCTGGACCAGCACTGCAGGGAGTTACTGCACAGGGAACAAATGAAGCCTGTGCTGGATTTAAGGTGAGGTCAACCCAGGTAAATGCGAGTTTCCCAGAATACAAATGTCTCCCTAGCAAGAACTAACCACAGCCTTGTCAGTGACAGCCAGAGATGTGACAGTTTGTATTTCTGTACATCGTTATTTTGCTGGTGCTGCCCTGAAGTGTGTGGGCTACAAGCAAATGCATGTACCATTTGTCCTCTAAACCCAGCACAGAGGGATAAATGGCTGGAGTGGAATTCTCTCAAAGGCCAAAACACTGGCAGTGTGTGCCGTGTTCAGTGAGGACTGGAGAGCTGTCAGATCCAATATCTCATTCAAATTAGGTCAGCAGCACAGAGGGAAACCAGAAAGAGGTCTGAGGAAAACACAGCTAGAGAGACCCACAGAGAGACACACAACAGACCTGAAGTGAAATGAGGCACCCTGATGCTGTACAGGAGGAAGGGGAATATTTTTTTTCAACATATGGCAAGAGCATCTTGTAACTCAAGCACAGAGAAGCATGTGCAGACTGACATCCAGCCACACACATAGCAAACTCAAACACACTTGTTTTAGAATCCTCCCCAAACATCCCCAACCTCCTGTGTACATGCCAGTGCAGTAGGTCAGAGATCAGGTTCTTGGCTATTATAAAGGTGAATAAGCAGAATGGAATGCTTTGGGCTCTTTCACAATAAAATATCAACTGTTGTCTCCTTGAGTCCAGCTCTAGGACAGACAGACAACCTCTTACAGGATGAGTCTGTCATCACTTCCAGAGCTGAGGGCTAGGGAGGGAGCATTTGTATGAAAACAAAGGGGTCAAAGGTTTCCTGAAGAAATTAGGAGATACAAGGCTGCAAGCAGAGAGCTCTGCCAGTGTGAGATCAACAGCTGACTTTGTAAGTGTCTGTAGGCACTTGCTTGTTTTTTGTTTGGACACGGGATCAGCAAAACTTATCAATATTTACCTTTTCTAGTTGTTCCATTTTTTCCTCCTCTGTCTGTTTGTACTCTTCTTTGATAAATTTAATGAGCCTCTCCACAGTAGGCAGAGAACTGTCCTGACCAACAAACGTCTCCATGAGCTGTACAAACTGTGGCTGGGTGAGGCAGCTTGCACCAGGGGAACTCCGAGTACAAGAAGCCCGACGGTTCTGAACCTCTGCCATGCTGGGACCTGAGTCTGAAAGGCAGAAGGCACAGTGTGTCACAGAAAGCCAAACGCTGCCCTAAAGCCAGGCACGTGGCAGCTATCAACTCACTGCTCAATCCTGCACTTCCTATCCAGGGAAATTACAGCTGAATCCAGACTGACTCCATGCTGAGTAAAGGCCTTAATCTGCTTATGCTGTTTTAATAGTAGCTCTTCAGATCCAGTCTGGCACGGATGCCAATGTACAGCCAGGTCAACCTCTGAGCACAGGTGAGCTGGAATTCCTGTTACTCAGCAAGGGGCCGTCTGAGACAAAGACCAGCTGAGGTACTGCCTGTCCCAGACAATGCAGGATGCACATCCTGCACAACACTGGAACTTAGAAAGCTGTAGGTTCCAGTGGGCTGTACCATCAGATTTATAACCCCTTACATAATAAGTCTGTCACTAGATTCCTTGGGCAATGTATTTCCAATTCTTGCAGTTTTCTAAACTGTGAGACAGAAGAGAGTGTTCATAGAGCACTGGCAAGGAAGTTGGTCCTTCTAGGATGTTTAAGGAAGTACCTCTTTGAAACACACAGCTGTCTGATCACAGCCTTGCTAGAACAAGGGCCTTTGTACACAATGAACTATGATCATCCTTTGGAAACACAGAGAGAGATTAAAATAAAAGGTTCCTTCTATATGATCTCATATCATATCTCCCTACTGGCAATCACAGGCTAAAAATTATTAAGGTCATTTCTAGATTTAACATGCTCAGGTTCCTGTCTTGCTACAGTAATATTACAGAGTGAAACAGAACATAAAGTTTCTTCTTATTATAAAAATTCTACTTCACAAAGTCCCTACTTGAATTAAAGTGTCTGCTCAGTGCCTTGAATACAGATCACCAGCAAAGTGACTCACCTGCCACCCTGTGAGAGGAACATGCTCTGAAATCTTGGCAGAAAACACCATGCTGAGAAAATATCAAAGCTCATGGTCTCCTCTACTCAGAAATCACTCACATGGTTTTGAAATGGATTAAAAATAGCCTATAGTTAAACTAGTCCAAATATATACATTGAAAAAGATTAAAGTCTGCCAGAATAAAGGAGAATACCTTCACCCTGGTCATGCAGAGGGTCACCATCCTGCAGCCTTGTCTCAGAGCTTGTCTGTTGGTCAAACTGGCTGCTGTGCTGCTTGGAAAAACTCCCTTTTCCTGCAGGGGTTTCTTCCACAGCCTCTGCAGCTGGAGCACCCTGTTCTGAACCAGTGACATCCCTGTCTGCCACATCTCTGTCTCCTTCACTTTTTGTTTCTGTCTCAGGCTCTCTACCCAGGCTTGATTCCTCTTCCTCCACCTGTATTTCAGGTCCAGGTTCTCCATCCCTACTGAGGTTGTGTCCATCAGAGGCTGATCCTGGGAAAGCTTCGTCCTGTCTCTCTGCACTTCCAGGCTCATCTTCCTTCTCAGTTTTGATGTCTTCCTGGGAGCTGGGTTCCTCTCTGTGTGTGGTACCTCCATCCAAGTCACCACCTTCAAATGCAGTGCCTTTCACCTCTGACACAGCATCCTCACCTTCCTTGCTCACTTCAGCATCACTCGGCTCTGCTGCTTGGTCATCACGGCCTCCCCATAAATCCGCAAGATCAATCTCTTGCAACTTAATTATTGGCCCTAGAATAGAAAAAAAAAATATGGTTAAGTTGATAGTGTGCATTGATTTTATGTTCTCTTGTATTGCACAGGAAATTTAAGCAAAAAAGATACTGCCAAGGAAGTACCTTCTGCAAACACACATCTCTGAAACACAAAACTTCAGAATAATGTCTTTGCCTTCAGAGATCTGCACTTCTCATTGTTCATTACACCACATTTCTTTTGAAATAAATGTTTCATAATTCTCCATGTTAAGAAGGAGACCTGTAATTTGCCCTGCATTTGATCTTGGCAATTAAGTAATGTCCAATATCTTTAAAATATTTTACTTTCATGCAGATGATCCCCTGTGTTTTTTCCTCCTCTTTCCATGTGCCTGGAGAAACTTTAGTGCAAACACAAAATTAACTCCTAACATTGCCCAGTAAGAGAGAACATTTGTTTCAGGAAAAGTCTCTTCAGAATTTTGTAGGAAGGAGAACTCTTGGATGTTGAAGCATTTCTGAACGTTGTACCACAGTTTGCAAAACATGTTTGGAAATTATGGCAGGCTACAGCATTCACTTGAGTCCTTTTTTCAGGCCCTGTTTCACTTCTAGTAACACTCATAAAACATATATGAACTATCCAGCCTCGTGTGACTTCCCAGTGTTTTAACCACAACCAAAACATCCCAGGTACTCACAGTGTCTGGGGTTCCACAATTCCCTCTTTTCAGCCACAGGGCTTCTGTCATAGAACTCTCTCAGCAGGGCCAGTGTTTTTTGTCTATCCAAGACACCAACCTAGACAAAAAGTGGACAATTATTGGGGTTTCCCTGTGGTTCTTGGGTCTTACATCAACCTCTACAGCACTACAAAGGCACCATTAGCTAAGAATTACCTGTGACTGAAAATTACCCATTACCAGAACACGATTACAAATTTCAAAGAAGTGAATTTATTTCATAGAGGCAAAAACTTCTTCTCTGGGCTTGAGTTGGAACTCCCTCCCCACACATATTACTTCGCAGGCACTTCCTTGACAAATTACAGTGAGATAATTGTAGCTGTTCTGCCAAAGGGGTTCTTCATGTAAAGATCAAAGCTTCAACATTTCATACTCTCAGGACAGATATTGATTGCCTGACAGCACCGTGGAAGAATTTTCACCTATTATGGGCTGTATTACCTTAGTGACTGCACACTGTAGCTTGGTTTTGTGCTCCATCATCTCCTTTGAAGCGTGATGTATTGGCAGCTGCCTGGGAACATAATTAGTCCAAAACTCTGAGCTATTATGACAACCTCCCTAATTTCCTTTAAAAATTCATAGACGTTTCACCAGAGAGGCGAGAGGGGCATCGGCACTTCCAGTGCAGAGGAACGTGCAGAGTTTATTAAGTCCTTGTTGCTCAGAGTGAGTGTCCACAGACGATAAACCCAGGAAAAGGCAATGAAATGGGTCATTTCCAATCAGGAAATTGTGGGTTCAAAAAAGAAAAGCAAATCTAAACGATTGCGAGTTTTCCATTTTATGATGAATTCCTGTTGTCATTACTTAAGTCCTGCCACCTTTGTAATCTCCCTCCCATTAGTGAAATAAAATAGTTAATTAAGGAACAGATTTACTTAAGTTCATTATTTGTAGCGAGTAGCTTTCCATCCAAATTACTGATTTCCTTTTCACGTTTTGTTCTTAGATTAAAAACTGCAAAATGGAAAATTCAGCAGGCTTTTAATTCCTTGTGAACTTTACCTGCCCTTAAGCTGAAAAAATAAAGGAAGAACTTTGCTGATCTTTTCTGGAAATGATCTCAAATGACTGCATTGTTTATAACCTAAATATGTAATTAATGGCCCCAAAAGTTAGAAGGTTTGGAAACAACTGAGAGATACACATCACCTACTGGTGGAGTTAATACTGGAACTAAACAATTACATCACATTTGCTGGGACTGCAGGACCTTCCTCTACAGGGAACTGAAAGTTTATTGCCAATTCTAAAGAAAGGACCTGACCTGAAATGTAAGAAGCCATTCAGTCCAGTTTTAATATTTCAGACTCCGCTAATTAAATTCCTGCTGGAAATTAGGGTTGAATTTCAGCCATCGGTGGGTTTGGAACAACAAATGTCATCACAGAATTCTGTCCCTAAACTTACAAGACGTAGGAGCTGATTCCCAGTACCTTCATCTTCCTGGCACTGACATACAAATGCCTTGCACACCCCCATGCAAACATTTCTTCATGCTGTTTGTCTCTCAGTTGAATATATCAGATCTGGTTCTGATCCATTTAGTAGCCATATAAACATAGCACATGTTTTTGAAGATGTTACCAGGTCACTGTGGAATATTTGGGTTCTCCATTCAGTATTTCCATTACACACACTTCATTTTCCATTCAAATTTTCTCAGCTGTTACTTGTCACAATTATCTGCTGGTTGCCTTGAAGTTGGCAGCACTAATGCAAAACTTTATGAAAAAGGGGAATAAATGAATTAAGAATATAAGAATATAATTCTTTAAGAATATAATGAATATTAAGAAAATTATGAAGTACTGTTAAGATGAAAATAAGGATGTTGTCTTGGGATTCAGATGCACTTTTTTTGTCATATTAAAATAATACACTTGGAGGACTTAGATAACTTTACTTTTGAAGATTTTTTTGTGATTTGGATCAAATAACTTTATTTTAATATATTGTTAAAAAGAGATATAAAAATTAGATAAAACAGCTGAAATTTACCAAATATGAATTAGGGCATGTTTCCTTGTTTTAGCATTCGCAATTTATACAGATTTGCCAGTCTACCAGAGGTCCCTGTTATTTCAGGACACTTTTCCTTACAGCTCACCCCGGGAGGAAGGTGCCACAAAACAGCCATCTACAGAAGACAGGAGCATGTCAGCGGGAAAGCTCCTCTCCCCAGCTGTGCTGTCTTTCTGAGTTCCTAAATTCACTAGCAAAGGTGACTTTTCTTTGCACTTCTTGTGTGACTGGAGGGGCTGACTGAAGATTCCTGCCTGTGCACCGGGAGCAGGACAGGACCAACCTCCCCTCTCGGTGCCAAACACCTGTGTTTGTACAGCCGCCCAAAACTTAGGGCAGCTTTAGTGCCCAGGGATTTGAAACGTGTTGGCCTCATTTTCTTGTCACCCAGATATTGGCAGGTGATGATTCTCAGTTGTTTTCAGCAGTGTTCTGTGACCTATGAGTAATTCCTTTAGCAACACAGACTAAACCAGACTTGCCATTTAATCAGGGATAGGTCAGTGTTTAACCACTCGATTGTTTTTCTGGAAATGTGATGTGTGTATCCTGATCCCCACAATGTGCTTGTTAGTGAGCAAGCAGACACTCAGGAAAGGTCATGAGAAAGCAGACTTTGTTGTTGCTGTACTGCAAGAAAGGTAATCAGGAGTGTCTCAAACGTCATTGAAAACTAATCTCTGTCCAAATTCAGTTTCATTTAAAGGTCCCAGGCTTAAAACATCCCTGAAAATTAATGCAGATTTGGTTATAATACATAAAAGAAACTATACTTGATACAAGTTAGCACAGATACAATAAGCTTAAAGTTCACAGAGCCACTGCCTTTTGGGGTATTACAGCAGTGATCCAACTGTGTTATGGGACTGTGTGTGGAAGTTTCTGCCTCAGTGTATAGTCCAGGCTGTCCTTGTTGAGTTGCCATCCTTCTGGATGCATTTGTTTGAAATCACAATAATGATTATGTGGATACCTTCTAATTTGACTGTAATTTAAACACTGCTTTCTCAGCTCCCTGGCCCTAATTGCAGCTCATTCAGGCAGCCAGCCACACTCCCCATGCAGGCTGGAGTAACTGCCTGCTACCAAACAAATGGAAATTAGGAACTGAAACAACTGCTCTGCTGTGCTTTGCAGAATGGGCTCTACAGGTAATGGATCACATTCAAGTGGTAGAAGTCCTTGGGTTACTTTGCATTTTTATCTCCCCTGTGGGTACAGTAGAGCCATACAAAAGAAACCAGGCCAGGTTTAAAAGAACTGCGTGGCCCACACGACACCTCAGTGAACTCAGTTTGCAGAGCAAAGGCTACCTCGGAGCCTGGAGGGAACAACTCCGTGCTCTGACCAGTTTTTTTCTGAGCAGAGATGGTGTGGGTGCTGATAGCTGCTCTCTCATGTTGTGTTAGCATTTTTGGCTCTTTGCCTCTGAGATTCCACTGGGATTAGTAGCATGGAGATAGTGATTACTGCCACAGAAATAATAGGAAGAAAGTCACATTAAAAGATGAAAGGAAAGAAGGGGCCCTTTCAAAATGCATGGCAAAGACAGGACTGGGCTTTATGTATCACTGCAGCCAGGAGGATCCATCACAGCCATTCCTGACAGAGCAGTAGGAAAATGAAATGTCTTCTAGCTGGGAAGCAGACCCATTTCTTTCCTCATGCCTGAAACAGCAGCTTGCCTGCTATTCTCTAAAACACACCATTGGTGTTGAAACGAGCTCTGTAATTCCTTTCTCTTGGCAGTAATGGCATTATTAGCATGACATTGTAGAGCACAGTTCACTCTGGGTAGTTCTCTGCAAGCGTCACTAGAGGAGTGCTGGGTGGAATATATAATTTATGCAGGGGAGGAAACTGTAAGATTGTGGCATCTGCTTGCTCTGCAGTAGCCAGCAACTGGCAAGCTGAGGCTACTCAGGGCAAGTACCACACTTTTTGGATGAAGCCCAAGTTTTTAGCAATAGTTTATGCCATTGATTTTTCAGCTTCTACAATTTACTGGTTTTCTGATAAGTCTAGCTTTTAGTTTGTTTGTTTTTTAATGGGGATGCAGGTGTACTCAGAGGATGGCAGAGATTAGAGCTGCTGAAAACCAAATTATGGCTTTTGAGTTCCATTTCCAGCTCCGTAACTGACTTATTGTATTTTAATTTCCTGTCCATAAACTGTAGCTGAGGTTCACAGCACTGTTCTCAGAGAGGTTGTAAAGGTGGATTACTTTGCACTTTAAATTTAAACTATGAGATTTATTGATAGAAGCCCTAAAGATCTATAAAGTTAGGCAACATAATGAATGCAATATATGTTATAATTGAAGTAATGTGCACATTTGTTAAGGTCAATCTACATCAGGTTATCTTTGCAGAAACGTGGCTGAACAGATAAATTAGACCCAGTTCTGAACTGTGCTGTGGGAGCAGATAATCCCACTAGGTCGTTCAGTTTCTAATCAGCCATCAGCTTGTAGGCAACTGGATGTTTCAGTGTCTAAAGTATGAATTTGAAGACAATGCTGCAGCTATTATCCTCTAAAATACTGCCGAATAAGCACAAAGGGAGTATCTAGAGTTGGGAAGAAGAAAAAGCAAGCAGTGACCCAGAGAAACACCAAACTGGAAGCATCCCCACATTGAAACTGGGAGCTGCTCTGCCTACCTTTCCAGAGTCACACTCTTGGAAGAGATCACTAAAATTTTGCCTCCACATAGCTCGTTGTGTTGCTTCCTGGAAGTCCTCCCCACACTGATGGAGATATTTCATGATTTCCTGGAATGTGTCACTCGGAACATGCTCTGTGTAGGAAAGGACGAACTGTGGAGAGAGAGCAGCAGTGTACATGGTTAGCTTTTCTGCAAGTATTTTCACCTTTATTTGAACTCCTAAAAACCTATTGCATGCAATGAAATATTTAAGAATTTGTAGTTTAATCTGCCAACATAACACAGGTTTGGTGCCTGTTTAGTTCTTTCTTTCAGAAGAAACAACATTCTCCCAACCAGCCTGGGATGCTGCACAATTGCATCCTCAGTAGGGCCTTTCCTGGCCCACAGGTCACTTTTTATGCTCAGTGGTTCAGAGATGCTGGATCAGATCCCTCCTATGGAATGCTGTGGCTTAAGCTGGGTTTTCTCAGGGAGGATTGAAGTTCTCCATGGTTTTTTGCAGCATTCAGTATTCTTGACTTTACTCCCCAGGAGGCATTTTGAGCCATTAGATTTTGCAGAACTGACAGTCACTCAACTCTCAAATGCCGCAAAATGAGCATTGCCCACAATTTCAGTGTTTAGAGAACCAGTCTGGATACAATAAAAACATGAAAAATCCTTTTGAAAATGAGCCTGCTGTCACCTAAGTCCTCTGACACTGGGGATACTACTGACTGGAGATTGATTTTCAGTTCCAGCCTTGGAGACACTTTAACACTTTGGATTTACAGCCATGTGGCTTTTATGAGCAAAAGCAATATGGTTCTAAAAATGTGGTGTGCATGACATAAATAATAATGGCCATCAGAACAAACCACAATCCCAAAGCCTGTGCTGAATTATTACAGCAGGTTTCTGGAGCCAGCCACACTAACAGGGAACTCATACAGTTAAAAGGAGGAATTTCCAAAAGACAGCCCATTTTTAGAGCATAGATACCTAACATAAGTGCTACACCATCTCGGACTTGTTGAAATGCCTCACAGGCATTAACAAACTGAAATATTAATATATGTTATAATTATTCATGTCTATATTGCATAATTTCCAAATATATGGGACAAGTGGAAAAGAGGAAAAGCAGAAAAAAAAGCAACGGCCTGAGGGGTGGCTGGTGGGAAAGCAGAACTCCTACACCATGTGGGGGGTTTCTGCTTTCAGCATAAAAAGACAGGATGTGGGTGTTTGGAGAGAAGGTGGGGCCGTGGGTACTCAGCAGCTTTCCAGAGCTATTCCAACCCAAAGCCCTGTGACAGAGGAACCTTGAAGGTGACAGCTGATGGGAGGAGGCAGGTTGGACAAGCAGCTTGTTATTTTGGATGTCATCCTGATGACACATCCAAAGGCTCCTGCACTAATTCTGCTGTCTAACAGCATCACAGGACACTGTTTACAAGTGCCATGTGGGCAGGAGGCACTATCATAGTCTTAAGCTTTTCTTAGCTGATGTGTAAAGTACTGTACACATAATAAACATACATTTATTTATTATTGACTGAGAGATTTTGACACCTCTCTGAAGAAAGCTGGCACGATTCCTTCTTGCGACCCAGAGACTTTGCTGCAGTTTGTGAGCACGTTGTCATCAATAACAATGGATCTTTGCTTCTTGTTCCTACTGATCTCACTAGAAATCCAGAAAGCCACATGCAATCATGGAAAATAATCTCACCTTTAAGGCCTGATTCTGACCCTGCAAAGGCAGTGTGAGTTTTCCCCTTGGTGTCAGTAGCTTTGTGCCAGACTGCTGGGGGTTTGTGTGCTATGGAGTACAAAGCCTGTAAAATAAACTATTAAGGGCTGGGCTCTGGGATTTAATGGCTTTTAATATAAAAGACCCCCCGAGTTTGTCATGCAGGATGTAAAAATACAACAGCCACTGTTTTGCATGTCTGGAAAAAAAAAAACCAAACCCCAACAAACAACAGTGTGTGAGGTCTCTCTACTGAGTTTCTAACGGCCTTGAAGTAGCCTAAAGCTGCACTGAATTGGAGAAAGAAAAATAAAGGTGCTATTTAATTTTAAGGTCCATTAAAAGCAATGCTTTCCACATGGGAAAAGGCCTGGACCAGTGTGGAGAAAGATCATCTCTCTCTCTCTCTGGGCTTGGTGGATGATGCAAAGGGAGGAACAAAGGTAAATTGTAGCTGAGGATTAGAAGCAGCCCTGTCCTAATGATGGAACAGTTCCCCAGGGAAGTGATGAAAGCCTCATCACTCGATTCAATTAAAACTGGACTGGAAAAAGCATCAGAGAACACTTTCTGAGAGAACATTGCTGGTAGATCAGACAGCCTGACAATCCATGTCTTCTGTGCTTCTCATCTCCATTGTCATATCTTTAATTGAGTTAAAATAAAGGGTACACAAAATATATTTTAAACAGTTTTCTAATGCTAATGGAGCCTGAATTCACTCAGAGCTTATATATATGTACCATAGGGGTTGTGGATTGATGCTTCATCACAGTGACAAAAGCAATTCTCTGGGCTCTCATTATCCACAATAGCTTTCTTAATTAGATGCAGTAATTCTGAGGTTAAATTCAAAAATTCCTCATTTCATGCTTAAAAAACCTTCAACAAGTTATCATAAAAATGCATTTCTGTGCAAAATAGCGAACATGTGAGTCTCCTGAGAGGGAAAAAGGCACAAAAATCACACATGGTTGCTTGGAATTAGTCTCTGCACAGCTGCCTTATACTCTGGTTTTAATTATTATAACAGCACCCACAAGCACTGCTGCAATGAGGGTCTGTCATTATTTCTATTCTAAACACCCCTTTTCACAGGTTTAATTACCCAGCCATAAAATTCAGCTCTGTTGCAGGTAGAAATGGTTGGCAAAGCCTTGGCCTGGAGAGTTTTCAATAAATACAGTTTGAACTGATTTCGTTGTTTTCAACTTGAGGAACAGCAGAGTAATAGGATGAAAATTCCAACCACGTTTATGCTTTTGGTGAGTTAAACCCACACTTCTGATATTTCTCAATGACAGCTTTTGAGTTTAGAACTGCCTGGTTATGCTTCATGTACATTTATGACACTTGTTGAAGTTTGGTTACAGTTCAGGGAATAAATGGTAGAGCTTCTCATCCCAGTTCACCATGGTTTGGTTCTTCTGTGGTTAATGGAAGCTAATCAGAAATAACAACACTGTGAGGATGTTACTAATTACCTTGGGCTAATGGTTATACTGGGAGGCAAAGTCTGAATGCACATGTGATTCAGGGCTTTGGCATTTCAGAGAGGGACTGGGAGGGATGTCCTAAAACCACTGCTCCCAGAGTAACTTCCCAGAGAGCAGCACAGGCTGCAGCTCTGAGGAAAGCAAAACTCTTCCCCTTTCCTGGCCAGAATGGAAATGTGGCAGCAGAGGATGGATACAGATGGAATGTGAACTGTCCCAGTTCCCTGGGATGCTGGAGAAGGGCAGCCCTTCTTACTCCTCTGGGCTGTCCCCAGGGAAGTGCTGCTACTCTGTGATACACATCATATTCTGAGCCAGCTGCTCTTATTTCATTTCTCACCTCTGAGAACTCATGTAGGTTTGCTGTTTCTTCCAATGTGTTTAAGATTTTCAGCTTCCTGTCCTGGATTGCTGGTAAAAAAATGAAGGGATATTGGTTTAGAAAGCAACAGTTGTGATTTTGCACACTGTACACCTTTGTTTTGCACACTGTGATGTTACCTTAACTTTCTTCTCATCTTCTCAAACATTTTTTTTTGAGGGTATCCCACAGTAGCTGAAGCATCTGACTGTACAGACACCAACCAAATCTGCTCCTTACATATTTCTTTTGCCGAGGATCTGCATTTAGCTATTCAGAACAGCAGAGTCGTATTTATTCTTGACATAAGTTGGTGCAAATTGCAATGATTTTAACAGTACTTAAAACTAATTATGTGAGGGAGGAAATGAATTTTGATTTAACAAACAGATAAAACTGCCTTAGAACTCTGGAGACATGGGTTCTGCTTTGCAAGAGTGGAATCTGAAAATCATAGTAATTTTCTCAAGAATATCTGTGGGAATATTTTTACTGATGATGATATTCAAAAGTATGTTTTGGTCAACTTCTGAGCTGCTATAATGGAACTGAGAAGAGAAATCAAACATCTACATAGATTTCTGAATGAGGTCTTGGAGCACAGACATGCTATTTCTGTTGGCATCATTTTTCTGTTCTTTCTTCTACAATATATCAGGAGTAATGAGAAAATGCACCATGGAATGCACTTATCTCCTGTTGGTTAAGACATTCCTAAACTGTACATTATCTTTATTAAACCATAAACAGAGCCTAATGTTCTGTTAATGTACATTGAATGCTATTAGACAAAATTAATTAAGAAATGGAGCTGCACTATGAGCGAAATAGGACAGAGAGCACCTCCAGCATGGGGAGAGCAAACATTTGGGGAGGCATTTCCCTCCCAGCCCCATGTCCCAGGGTCTGTTTGCACTGTCCCACAGCAGGGGCACAGGGGGGGCTGTGTTGGCAGTCACACAACATCCTACCCAGACCAGAGGAACAGTTGTGTAACACAGACAGGGCTGAGCAAGGGCGAGCTCCAGGCACAGGTGACTCCAGCAGAGACGCACTCTGGAGTGCTCTGTTTATCATCCCAAACCAGCAAAGGCAGATTTGCTTTCACTGATGATCATTACAGGCTCAGGAAAGCCTGGCAGCAGGCTCGTGGTGCCACTTCAGTGTTCCCAGCTCTACTCAATTTTCATCATTCAGGGAGGTCAAGTGTGAGCTATACAAAGTGACAGGAATTATGGAAATGTTACTGAAACAAGTGTTCCCATCCAGAGGCCCTGGGCTGTCACTGGGATGGTCTGGGACTGGCTAAAGGGATGGCTCAATGGCATGGGCTATTTTGTGGAGCATTAGGTAAACTGTGGAAAGGGCCCAAATCTGTCTTTCTATCTCCTGAAAGGTTTCTTAAACTTCTTTTCTAAGCTTCTTTCCATTCTTTTCAAGGTCACGTTATTGAGCCACAGGGTGGTTCAGACCCTCCAATCTGTCTGTAGATTTGTGGTTCATATCCTGATGTAACCCCTTAGAGATTCTCCCTCTGTTATCAAATCCACTTGCTGTTTGCCCACAGTTCACATCAGAATTCAGATGGCAGCAATGAAATTAAGGAAGATATGTTGAAAACTTACCTTTTCTCATTTTTTCGGGAATAGAATCAGTGACATCTGGAAAAGACCTCAGGGCACTCTGAACCTACAAATCAAGGTAATAGTCAAAGGCCTGTATCATGCAGACAGCAGTGGACAATTACCAAAATAAATCACCTGGAATAATCAGACATGTGGGCCAGTCATGAGTCTTACACATCGTCAGGAGTCGTGAGGAATCAGGGCTTGGTGAGCCTGAGGCAGACAATGACCTGCACCCTGACCCTCAGGGCAGCAGAGCCATCACCCACCCACAGATGTCCTTTTCCTCCTGTCTGGAACAACCACAGCAGTGTGTTACCAAGGATCTTCCCTAGTTACCAGTGCCACTGGTATTCTGTCCTTGCCATCCACCGTCCACTCTTTGAACAGAACTGTCAGTGCCTCCTTTCTCATCCCTCTCTCCTCAGCTTGCTTTCTTTCCATCTCCTCCCTGGCCTCACGTTTTTCCTTTGCCTCAGCCTTCATCTTGACCAGCCTGCAGGACATGGGAATATGGATTGAAAAGATACCATCATAAACGTACTCAAGATTGATAAGCCTAAGGAAGGAACTTTTTACTGAAGTTCTTTTTCCATGTGGTAGACATTTAAGGGAAAATCATCTGTGCAGCTCTCCCATTTTGTGTAATTTCAACAGCGATAAATTTTACCTTCACATTTATAATGGCATTCATCATTTATTGTGTAGATGTCCTTCAATTCCCTTTCAATTTTAGCAAGAAGACAGGTGCATAATTTTGCTACACTTGATTTACCAACAGAATTGCATCAGTCTCCTTTGTCTCCAAGCCCAAGTACCTTTGCACACAAGCACTTCACTGGCAAAGAACAATGTTCGATGAAATTTCTGAAGCAGCCTCACACAATAGAGCCCTCACTGCCTTAGGACATGGATAATACCCCAACCTCTCCATCATTTTGAACACATAGAGTTTGCAGGCTTGGACTAACAGTAGCTCCCTTTCTTGTTCTTGTTTTCTCTGCTTCCCTAATCACCCAGCCATGTTTTTTTCCCAATCCTCTATTTCACACGACAAAAGAACTGAATAAAATTGATCCCGTAGAACTGTGATAATTTTGACTTTTTTAATTTATGACATGAAAAAAAAGAAAAGCCTTTAGGAAGGTCAAAATGCTTAAAGCCAAAGAATTGGTTCATATGGGGAGGACAGCTCCTGCTCCTGGAATCTCTCTGCACTGAGGCAGCTGATCATCTTTGTGCCCTTCACACCCTCTGTAGCTACTCAGAGGAAGGGGAATCGCTCCTCTTTTGTACCTGAGAACTCCAAAAGCTGTACTTTAGCTAACAATTCCTGCTCCCTTCTTCCCCCTGTGTTTCACATGCCATGAAATGGGCTCATCCTGTCCCTGCTCTCTTCTGGGGTCATCCTAGAAATTAGAACCCATCAATATTTTCTTTAATGAACAGAGAGACCTGTTTTACATGTCACAGCAATTCTCTTTGATCACAGTCAGTTTTATCAGCAGGCACTTGTTCTTCATGGCCATTTATCACAGAGGTTTCTTAATGAATCACTGGGTTCCTCAATCAATGGTGGGCATTGCACAAGTCCTGCTGAGGCAGCTCAGCCTCCGGCACTTTGATACCAGGGGAAGGGTAAAATAATTTCCCATCTCCTGACTCCTTCCCAGAGCCAGCAAAGGGGAGGAATGCAGCAGGTACCAACCTAAATGGACTCACAGATTCTCCTCCAGTATATGCTACAGACAGAGAGAGAAAATAGACCATTTGTAGATGCAGCTCCTCCTTCAGAGTCTGCAAGTCACAAGCAGAGAGAGGGCTGTGCTTGGAGCTGCCAAGGTGCTCTGTGATTAATCTGGGCAGTGTCCAGCACGAGTTACACTCTGTGCTGCACCTGCACTGGGCTGCAGTTTAGCATTGATTTGTAGGGTCCTAAACCACTGGTCCCTGAGGTGGGACATTTCCCCCCAGTCTGTAACAGCAAAGCGGGGATAACAGTCCAGGGCACCCACTGCGAAGTGAGCTCGTTTCATACCAGACATTTCCAGAAAAGATGAGATGGCAGCGAGGTGACTTCTCCCTGCAGAACCAAACATGTCTCCTCAGGAAGAGATTTGCCTGCCTCCCACACAGGGATGGGTGACTCAGCCTGAAGGACTGCCATCCCTGGACAAACACATCTGTTCCAGGTATCAGTCCCTGTGGATAAGGAATTTCTCCCATCTGTTCTCCGGCGTGCCTCGACTCCCAGTCAGGTGGCAGTTAAGGAGAAACTGGAGGAAGCCCAAGTGATCTCACTGAGGATGGGTAAGCATTAATTGGGAACCTGTGGTGAATCCTGCTTTTCCTGAAGGGAATGCCAAGACTCTCAGGAGCTGCATTTGGGCCAGAATTTCATCCCTCACCCTTCTGGTGCTTATGTGGGAGATGCTGAGCATGGACTGGCACTGCTCCTGTTACAATTCTTTCCTGTTTGGAAAGCCAGTGACTCACATGAGGAGTCTCAGTGCTGCATGGTGTTTGTAAAATCCTCTGTGTTGCTGTGATTTGAGAATCCCATGCAAATCCCACAATACAGCCATCACAAATATGTAAATCCTGAGCTGTGGTGAATGCAAATCCCATGGGAGTACTACCAGTGGATATGCAAAACCTGCTACAGCTGGGAGATTACAGAAACCCCCGTGGCAATGCTGCCTATGGAGATATTTATTTCTACAAGACTTGATAGTCACTTCCTTTGCATCAGCTCTGAGAGCTACAAATTGAGAACCTGCCTCCAAATGTAAACACGGGCTTAACAGCCAAGGTCAGGATCACAGGTCATGGGTGGCCAAGGCTTTGCATTCTACAGGAAAATCTGCCCTCTCCAGAAATAAGCTGTGATTCACAATGAAAGCCAAGAGTATTTTAGTAGAGAAAAAAAATAACACCAAACCACAAAACAAAACCAAACAAAAACCCAACTCAAAACCCCAGGAAATTTTTGTTTTAAAATTCAATTTCCTTTGCAAAATAAACTGAGATATGGTTCTGAACTTCCTGTATGCAGGTGTCCCTCTGTGAAGCAATATAAATGATGAAACAGTCCTAAAGCAAAGGTGTGGCAAGGCTGGCATCCTAAACATCCCCCCAGAAAAGGCTGTGCTTGAGTGAAAACTCACTGAAAGAGATATTTCCCCAGCTCATTTGTTCAGTGGACCAGCACTTAAAAAATAGAAAATAAAACCGAAATTCTTTTACCAGCTCCATTTTTACCACTGTATGCCTGCTTATGAAGAAAACCCAAAAGCTGAGCTCTTGCACACTGACCACAAGGAGTCAGTTATAATTATTTTTATCTATGGGGAAAAGGAGGTGACTGTATGAAAATCACTTCTCACGCTGCTTTAATGCATTCACACCAGGCATGCTGCAGTGAACTGCAACAGGATGAGGAATGGAAATGTAGAGAGAAGCTCAGAGCAGTAGAGAGAGATTTAACACATCCTTTTATGCATTATAATGCTGAGAACTTCAATTATCTTCATTTAGGGTTTATGCATAAGACATGTCAACATTTTACTTCCCTAATTCCTGACACTGAAACCCTGAAACCAATTTTCAAGCTGTATGCACTATTTATGCAAATAAAGAGTCAGCCATTCAAATAGAAGTCATTATTCTGCAAACATAGATACAGAATGAAGTGATCTAGTAGTGAAGGAGTAATTTTGACATCAATCACAGTCACCTCTTGATCATCTGTAAACTCAAAAGTTCGCTTCTGTATTTTTCTTAATAGAGCAATGAAAATTAAGCATTATTGCTCACCGAATGCTCTCACAATCTAAGCTCAGCATACTGTAAGGGGACATGGAATCCCCTTCCAATATTCATTAAATAAACTTTAGCAAGCAGCCTAGAAATAAGCAACAGAATAAAATATTAAACAGTTTCTACTTTAAAGGGAAAAATAGAATCTGGAAGGAAAGCTTAAGTAAAAATCTCAGGAGAAGGAGTTTCTACAGTGTTCCAGGACAATGTTGGTGGTGGTTTGGTCAAGAGAAATCATCCTGGAGGGGAAAAGAAAGGTTACATTTTTATTATGTTTGGAAGAATAGAGAAGAAATGATCTGAGGAGTCTCTTAGACCTTTGATAGTAACACCTGTCCCAAAGAACTGCTGTCACTAAGCTAGACCGGTTTGGAAGCAGTTTGCATTGCACATATGTAATTAAGATAGAGTCTAAGGAGGAATTATACACTTGTGAAGGGCAGAATATTGCCTTAAACAGGAATAACTAGTGTTTCACTTTGTGTGACATGTTCTGGCATTTGTCTCAAGTTTTTATGAGAGGCAAACACTGTCCCTGGCACCGCACTCCACAAGGTGTGTTCTGTTCAACACCTCACCAGCCAGGCTGCAGTGACACCATTGCTTTTGTAGGACAGAGACCAGGACACCAGCCCTGGCCTCGTGAGCAGCCCCACTGTCACTGCTCTCACCTCTCTGACGTTGTACCTCGCATCAAAGATTTGAGCTCCTCCGCCACTATCTTCATTCCTCTCACGTACGGGCCCGGCTTTGGAGAAACACCGTACAGAGGGTTATGTCGCATCAGATATTCTGCAAGATAATTAATGGGGTCAAATGTGCCTGGGTCTTTGTCTGATACAAGCACGTGCTTTCTTTCCACTTCCATTAACAGATTTTCTACTCCTGGGATTAATGTAGGTAGGAGTTTGTCAAGCAAATAGATGCGAGTATCGAGTGTCTCCCTCTCTTCGCTGTACCACTCTCTGGCCAGTGAGTCACAGGGCTCTCTCTTCTCTATCTTTTCTTCTTCTGCCTTTTGTGCTCCAATCACACTTGCCTTTGTCTCCTGCAGACTCAGACACCTTTGTTGTACCTTTTCAAAAAAACACTCTTTCCACGAAGAGTAATTACTAAGACGTGGCTGTTCATCATCCCCCTGATTGCTTTCCATTTCTGTGGCAGCTCCCTCCTCATGTCCAAGTTTGGGATGTTGCAGACCTGCAGGTTGTGCTGATTCTTCTGGATGAGCAGCCATACCTCAATCACTGTGACACAGAAAAGAAGCAGCTTGTTATATAATGCCAAAAGATGCAGCAGTGCCCTAACAGGTGACACAGCAATAAAGCCCATTGTTAGGGATTAACTACGATTTTTTCTATGTTCCTTTTTTATTCTGTTACTGCTGCTTTGTACTCTTAAATAAATACAGCCCCTTTACTTCAAAGAGCAGTAAATGATTTATAAAGATTAATTATGTATCACAACAGCCCTTGGAGACAGAGCAACTAACTAAGTGCGTTCCTTTCTTAGGAGAGAAGAAACTGAGACACAAAGGGGGAGTGATTAATTGCAGGTCACTTAGAGACTCAGAAACCAGGAGGTGAGCAGTGCTCAGAACTTGTTCCCCAGTTCCAACCGGTGGAATCCTCTTACCCCCAGCACCATTATTTGTTTTAGGTCCATTCCCTGCCTCCAGGAAATCCAGTGGATATGAGACTAAGGAAGCGAGTAATGGAAAATGTCAGATACCCAGCAGCAAGATTCCTCTGCACGCTGCCTCTGCTTCAGCTTCTCTGCAGCTGTGAAGAACACTGAGGAAGCTTGTCCCACAAACTACTTAACTTCAACTTTGGCAACTATTTTTAACTCTGGACATTTTGTTCAGGTAACAAGGACCCAGGTGTGCGGATCAGCAAAGCTTCCACAGAAAGGGAAACTCTACACCATGGAGTCTGTAATCAAGTTGTTCACAAGCACTTAATGTTGTAGATTATTGTGTAAAAGAGGTATCTCTCTTTACAATTTCATGAACCTTGCTGCTTTCTTCTCAAAATGTTCTTCCTGTGAAATATTAGGAAGAAACTGAGCTGCTCACATGGCACAATTTGAAAAATGTTTCAGTGTGTCTCCAGGCATAACTGTCTGCATCTGCAGAGGGATTCACACACACGGGATGGAGCAGAAGGCTGGCTACTACTCGATTCAAGGCATGAAAAAGCAGCAGCATGCTGCCAAACCCAGCTCAGTGTTAAACAACAGCAAGGAAGGGGGATATTAATGAATAGTCCAACACCTTTCCAAATTAAAGATGAAACTCCACTCAGAACTTGCTGCCACACTAACCTTTTCAAGTTTTTATTTAAAAGTGCTTTTCACTGAGGCCTCTCAGTATCCATAGCAATACTGCTGCTTTTGATATGTGTTGCTCTTGCTGTTCAAGCATTTGTAGCTGTTCTGAACTGAGTTCAGCCTTCCAGGAAATGCATAAATATGATCTACAGCCCTCCTGGCACACGAATATAATTACTAATATGTTGACCTTCTGGTTCATTACCACTGTTGGAGTGCAAATGCTGCTGGATAGGTGGGATGCTTCACAGCATTGCATTTCTGGGTCTGTTTTCTCGATGGGCTTGTTGGCGTCTTCTGGTAATTTGATTTCAAAGATGATTACCTGCCAGGAAATGGGATGAATTCATGGCTCAAACTGCCTGCCTGACCCACACAAAGGTTTGCTACCACTTGGTAGCTGGTTTTGCCACTGAAGGACATGAGCTGAAAAGGAATCTGAATTTATGGTGGTAAAAAGGGAAACCTGTCCACCTTGTTGAGTTGTTCCTTGCTTAGGTGAGTTCCTTTCACTGAGCTGTAAAACCAGACTCCTTGGTTCAAAGCAGGGGTGTTAACCAAATGTTCTGGTCACCCTCCAAATCAGCTGGTTTTGTTGGGCCAAAATAAACTGTTCTTGCAGTCTCAAATACTTATGTTATTTTTTTAAACATCCTTTACGAAACCCTCTGCAGTTTCTGTGCAGTGTTAAAGTGACAACTGGCCTCTGCTTCATGAGGTGGCTGATTCTGAGAGATGATGGATACATTTTCTACGCTGCTCTCAGCCCTTTGTTAGGATGGTTGTGAGGATTTGTAAATGTTTATAAAGTATCTCTATGTCTCTGACCAAAACAAAGCATAAAACAACTGGTGCAACTGTTCTATCTCAATTCCAGGGCATTCACAAAACTCCAGGAATGGAAGCAGAGCCCAGAGAACTGTTCCCACTTCTCTAATGCAGTACAGATGAAGAAGACTAAGAGTTCATGGAAGAACACACAAACAATACATAACTGTTCAAATAAACAACAAAGGAGTGCTAGAATCAGGCCCTGAAGCCTGGAATTTGTTGAGGATAACAGGGACACACCTCCAGCTTGGATAACACACCACTTGCTGATTTACATTAGTTGAGAATTTGGGCCATAAGGGAAAAGTTGTGAACTGAAAGGGTGCTCAGGCATTGGAAGGGGCTGCCCAGGGAAGGGGTGGAGTCCCCAGCCCTGGAGGTGTTCAAAAAACGACTGGACGGGGCATTCAGACCCAGGTCTAGTTGACAACGTGGTGTTTGGTCAAAAGCTGGACTTTTGAAAAGATCTTGGAGATCTTTTCCAATCTTAATGATTCTATGAGTCTGTGATTCTACAATAATATAGAGAGCTCTCATGGCCCATGGCATTCCCAAATGGAGCCCAAATAACAGTAAGCATGGAGCACAGGGGCAAACTTTAGAAACAACGAGGAAACTTGAAATGTCATATAAAGTTTCCTGTAAGCCTTTGTTCAAGCTGAAGGCAAGATAAGCTCTCCATTATTTAGTAGGATGCCACTTTCCTGGCTCTTCTTCTGTGAGAAAAATATTCCTGCTGGAATCCCTGCAGGTACAAAAAGATTATCATTGTGTTTTCTGTACAAAAACCAAATGTGCTCATAAATAAGATTCTTATGGTTTCATTGCTATTCTGTTAGGGAATTTTGATGGGTGGGATAGGGCCAGGAAACACTAAAGTTTGTTTAGGTAATATTTTGGAGATGTTTGAGTTACAAAATCTTTTCAAAAACAGAGTCCAAATCTTTTTGATACTCTATCACTCTAATGTGTTCCACAGAGCATGTTTCTCTCATCAATCACAAAGAGCTCAACACCCTTTTCATACATGATCTTTTCAATACAATGAAAATTTTAAAACATTTTCCCTTTTGCTTTCTGAAGCTTAGAAGAACTGTTTTTCTTACCTTTGAGGCAGGTATCAAAATAGATCTTATTCCTCCTGCATTCAAAGTGGCTTTGCAAATCAAGAGGAATTTAATACATGCCCATCTGTTCTCCACCATTAAAAATCTTCAAGTGAATTAGGGATCTCTCAGCCCTGCTGTGGAGCTGGGCTGTGAGTTTTACTCCTCTGTGTGTTTGCAGTTGCTAAGCAATAATCCCAAAGGTTGCTATGTCTTTCCACGACCAGAATTGCTGTAGGTTGTCTTTTGGCTTTGGCACAGCCCAACAGACTCTTCTGTTGCATCACATGACTGAAAATAAAATCAGAGAAGGACCAGGAATAGCAACAGACAACACTGAGGGCACAAGCAGAGAATCTGCAGGTGCCCAGTGACAGGCTTACCTTCAGATTCGAGGTTCGTGAAGTCCAGCACTGTCACAAGTCCATTACCAGCTGAAGGGAGGACTGTGTTAACCAGATGCGAGAATCTGAGACGTAACAAGAAATTAATTACAAACTCAATTTAAACATTTTCAGGCTTTCTTTCTTGTGAAGAACCGCGTTGCTTTGAAGCAGCCTTGCAGGAAAGGCACACACAGCACTAAATAGGGGGGAGTGCACAGTGCCATTTTGTCAGTCTGCTTTTAAACCTGAATCTAAAGGAATTTGATGAACCTCCTTTCATAATTTCTCCTGTATTCTTTGAAGAGTAATATGCAACACAGGGAAAGGAGAAGGGAAAAGACAAACACATCTACAACAGCCATCCTGCACTCATTTACTCTAATGCAAATCAGGTGCCTCTTCAGCGATTTCCTTGGGTTAGGCAGGACTTCCAGCTGAGAAATTTATGGCAATTTCTGCCAGGGAACAAGGTTTCTCCAATGCTGGGTTTAATTTGTATTTTGTACTGGAAGTGGCATAATCTTTAGATTTCCTACCTGCAGGAAAACTGGACTGTGAATTTATCTGCAGTAATTGTCATTGGAGCAGCTGCCCTCAGGCACGGTATTAGTCTCCATTTCATGGGACAACTTGTAAGAAACCTTGAAATAGAGGAGGTCAACTTTCACGTGAAAAATAAGCCGTAATAAATTACCATTTCTTTGCTATTTATTTGGAAAAAAATGTATCAGAAGGAAATGCAGTGCATTTCCAAGACATGTTGAAGTCTAGCATCAATTATGTTAACAAAATGAAGCAGAAAATTAGTGCACAGGACTAATTTAAAATGAGGCTTTAAACTGGATTGTGCACTTTTTTCCTCAAAGCAGGTTGCACATGATTAATTCCTGTTATCTCTTCTCCCAGGTGTGCTTGGTTTTCCCCCTTTGCAATTCAGAATTCTGTTGCTATTATGATTAACTCACAAAACTTTTTTTCAGCATGAAACATAAATTAAAAAGATACTTTCCCTTCTCCAAAAGTGATTTTTTTTTCCAACCCCCAAACAAGAGTATACAAATAGAACTTGGAGGAAGGGATCAAAATGGCTCTATTTTTGTTTTTCTGGTAGTGGAATCCCGTGGGTTAAGCAAACCTTTAATTGTACCCTATTTAACTTGGCTGTTATCCCTTAATGTTTTTGCTAAGCAAAGTGTATCTTTTTATTATGCCATCAAATACTTGCACTGTTGACAAAATAATGGGCTGAATGTGTCACCACAGATGTTTTGCTGGAATTGCCTCTTCTATCTTTTTTTTTTTTCTGTTTTTCTGTGTAAGATACATTTTGGGAGCACTCTGATGTCTTTTGCAGCCAAGATTATGCAATAAAAGCCCTAACATGTAGTAATAACAAGTTGTGTTAGCCAGAGAGATGTTTGCAGTGTATTAAATAGTCAGTTTTGGAAATGTGTACAAAACCAGCTCATGTACAGCTCCACATCCTTTAAATGCTACACTGGGCTGGAGCTGCAGGTGCTGACCACACAGGAAAGAATAAGGCCACAGGCTTCCAAGCTCCTTTTTGTACCAACCCTGATGCTGTGACCACAACCTGCCCTCTAATTGCTCTTTTCAATCCCAATACATCTGCCTTTTAGCTTCCTCCTCCACATTTAAATTCTGCTGCTGAAAGACACTGCACATGCAAATTATACCTTTCTAAGGGCTGGAGAAATATCCCAATCTGTGATTACTGCAGTTAACAACTGATATGTTGGACTTGCAGCTGACTGTAGATATCAACTCTATTATTTACATGTGGTAAATGTTTTTTGAAAGTGTTTGCTGTTCAAATACCTGGAAGAGCTACAGGGTACATAAAAATTACACAAAGGTAATTTTGGAAGTTGGTGTAAATAATCATTTCTCGATAGTAATCCCTGCGTGACTTGATCAAAATCCAAGATGAAACGCCAGTCCCAGGTAATGAAATCTGCTACAACACTCCAGGAACTTCGGTCATCCACCCTCTGTACCAGCGCAGAGGTATCTGAAGATGAGCTGGGTGCCTTGAAGCAGCCCTAAATGTGCAGGAATGAAACTAAACAACCTCAAATTATACTTCAGAGAAAGGCGAATGGTCATATGCCAGAAAAGGAAGAACTTTCCCATCCTCAAATGGAACTCCTGCCTCTGCTGAAAACCACGGCAAAAACTTTACAGCATCGTGGCCTCATGTCTGGCTGCCACCTCAACATGCTTTTTAGTTACTTAATTTAAAAGGTGTCTGGAAGGCACTTTCTTGACCCCTTTGCCATAAATCAGTGTGCTGTAAGCACATTATCCATAAATACCCTGTTTCAAAACAACAACATTTTGGTTGTAAAATGCAGGACAAGGGCTCTTCATTTACCAGTGGGTTTTGCTTAGTCTCCCCATGTGCTCAGATCCCTCTGGGGAGTCTTTTGGATGTGCAGCCCACTCTAGAAACTCACTTTGGTCCAGTTCAGGGAGCCTGTCCTCAAGCCCTGTCCTCCATCCCTCTCCTCCATCCTCGCCTGTCCACCAGGAGGCAAAATGCTTCATTAGCGATTCTGACTTCTCCATTGCAGCAAAGCCCAGCAACAGGAGCCTCCCTGATCATTATTTTAACTGGGGAATAACCTTAAGAGCGACCAGGTGGCTTCCCCAGCACTTACGTTTACAGGGGCAAAGTGCAGTCAGCCTGAGGAGTAGATCAAAGCCACATCAGCCCTGTGCTTCAAAGGAATCTATGGGTTAATACACACTCTCGACAAAGAATTTGCTCTGTTTAAATATTTAGAACAGCTTCTGGTTATCATTTCTGGTGGTGTCACTCAATGCTCCATACAATTCTCGATCCCAGTTACCTCCTTTGCATGAATTTAGTGGATTCTTTATCCAAATTACCCCCTTCCCATGAATTCGGTAGCACCAGGCTGAAGCTGCAAGGCAAATGAAGTTTAACAGCACTTGACCCTTTGCCTCAGACCCCAAACCGCTGAGCAGTTCTGCATCTGTGGGTGTCTGAGAGCCCAAAATATCTCGTGTTCTCATCAGACCCGTTTTTTTTGGTGTTTGGGCTTGTGCATCAATGTACCACGAGGTGTTATATGCTGTTTTCATTATGGAAACAGTTACTATTGCTACCACAGCTGAGGAAAAGCTACATTATTTGAGAGCTAATGCCAGCTTTCACCAGTGGGTGCCAAGCCCGCTGTCACGGATCCCAGTGGGATGGGGCTCCCCAAACCATCACCGGCCAGGAGGCACACTGAGGGTGCCCAGCTGACACACACTCATAAAAGCCACCTCTGGGGCTGAGACACAAGAGGGGCGATGCTGGGACTCCCAACTCCACTGTCATTCCCTCAGGGACCGGGGTGGATGCCAGGACCCCCCCCCTCTAGCCCCCTCAGGGACAGGGGGTGCGATGTTGGGCCCCACCTCACGCCCTTAGGGACCAAGGACGGATGCCGGGCCCTCCAACCCGCTCAGGAACCGGGGGGGGGGGGGCGATGCCGGGACCCCCTCTGCTCCCGGTGTTCCCTCAGGGACCGGGGGACGATGCCCACACCCCCCTCCCTCAGGAGCCGCCGGCGCCGCGGGGGTTAACGCGGCTCGGCCGCCAGGGGGCGGCGCCGCGCGCGCGCTGACAGCCGGCGCGTGCGCGCTGGCGCCTCATTGTGCCCGGCCGGCCCGGCCCCGCCGCGCCTCAGTCGGCGAGAGGCCGCGGGCGCGCGCGGAGCTGCTGCCGCTGCCGCCCCCTGCGGCCGCCGCCTCCGCATCCCCCCCCCCCCTTCCCCCGCCCGCCATGGAGTGACGGCCCCCGCCGGACGGCCGGACGGGGGGGCCCCGCCGCGCCTCGATGGCTCTGGTCACGGTGCAGCGCTCGCCTACCCCCAGCGCCACCTCCAGCCCCTGCGCCTCGGTGAGTCCCCGGCGGGCGCTGAGGGGGCAGCGCGGCGCTCGGCGGCCGTTGGGGTCCGGCGCGCGGCGCTGCGCATGCGCTCCCCACCCCCCCACACACCTCCCCTCAGTCGCCCCCCGGTGCCGGCGGGGTCCGGGCCCCGGGCTAAGGGTGAGGGGGGCCCGCGGTCCGCCGGGAACGGGGGTCGCACACCCTGCGCTGTGGCCTGGTGACAACCCGGGGGACGGGCGGGGGGTCCCGCTGCCCCTCAGCAGGCCCGCGCTGGGGCAGCGCAGTTCCCTACCGGCCCTCGGGCTACCGCGGGGTCCCGGTCAGACCCAGCCCCGCTGTGAAGGATGGGGCAGCGCGGGGCCGTTTCTATGAATCCGCCTGGTTCAGTCCGTGCTCATTGTGCGCGGTGGGAGAGGCGGGAAGCGTGTGTGGAAGAGACCTGACATGGTTGGGGCTCCGGCCGTGCTCAGCTGATCTCATCTGACAGCACCTCTGGGTATCCCCCGCGCCCTGCCTTGGCCAGCACATGAGGGTGTTTTTTCTGCCCCTTCTTCCGAATGCTGACTATAATTTTCACGGGGCTGTGTCAAGCCCAGGACAGGCACAGAACGGCGGATTCCAAATCCCCGGGTGAGATGTGCAGCAGGACAGACGTTCCCATCACTGCCCTGGGTCAGGCAGGCGGTTTGGAGGCTTCTGGCTTTCCATGCTCTTTAAACGTGGAGACAGACTGTTGTTTTAGTACTTCTGTATTGTAAAATCCTGCTTGTTAACCCTTTAAGATGCTACCAACCCTGTTTCCAATGTAACCAAGGATGAGAGTGAAAATAGCTTGCTTTCGCTTCTGTGTGCTCAGTTCTAAGTTAGCTTTTATCCTTAAAAAACCTCATGCATTATCACACTGGCGTTATGTCTGGTTTGCAAATGTTTGGAGGGAGAGAAGAGTTGAAATCCCAGTTGCTTCCACCATGGAGGGGGGGGAATGAAAAAGCCAAGTACTCTGAAAAATATTTCTTGTTGTGTTAGGTAACCTCTTCAGAAACTAGATCAGCTACTTGACAGGTCCTGCCTGCCCTGGCAGCATTTTAGCTGTCAGAACACTTACTTTTTTTCTTCCCCTCTTTCATTCCCATGCCTCT